GCACGCACGCACGCACTGTCACGATCTAATGCACTGTAAATGGCGGTTTATTAAAAACAAATAGGCCTACCAGAACTCTAAAATTTGAAATCTGACATTTTCCGGAACAGGTTTGAGTGGCTTTTACACATCGTGTCATGCCGGTGACTGCGTGCTGTTGCAATAGACTGCATTAAAGTTAACGATTAATCGATTAATTGATCGTTAATTTAAACGACAATCGATCATGGAAATAATCGAAAATTGACATCCCTAGTATGGACGTGATGTTGTTTGGGGGTTTGGCAAAAGGAGAGTGGGACGGTGGGCAGTGCTCGGGGTGGTGACTGAAGGCGGTGACTGTGTAGTTCTGACGTCAACTTTTTACGGAAGTCACAATGGTTCGGGAAAAATCACAGCTACTTTATGCAGGCTGTGTGCATTTTACTGTGGACTGACTGTTTTGAAACTTATATGGTAGTTACATAGCACCTAGACCTCAGTTATCATGAAAAAAGCCAGGAAGTTTCAGTTTTGACAATATGGGACCTTTAAGACTATGGATCTCAAATTATGCACGTAGGTGAATAGAATGGTTTGAGGTATACTGTACCTGTGGTTGCCTGTGATCACCATATCAGAGCGGATCAGTGTTATTTTAGTATTATTTATATACTATTGTAGATATTGTTAATATTTTGAAATAGCTTTTATTTGTCTGTTTTCAGTTTTCTTTTGAATGTGTTTAATTTAATGAATTTTATGTGTTTGACCTTTCTTATTAGTTTTTTACATTTATAGAGTTTTAGTTTATTTATATTTTAGCTTTATTTTTTTGTAGTTAGTAATTTTAGTAAATTGTTTAGTTTATTTTAGTACATTTAAGCACATTTTAGCGAATTGTTTAGTTTACGTTTTTATCTGTTATTTGTATTTTATTTAACTTTATTTAAATGAAGAAAAATGTTTTTATTATAGTTGTTGTTAACAACAGCAACAGTGGAGCTAATTTGTCATTATACACCAAAATCTCCTAGACAAAAATATATTCAAAAAATATATATTCATAAAAGCATATATATATATATATATATATATATATTTGTATTTTAAAAATATATTTAAAACATATATACAATGTTATGTAAATTATGTAAATATAGTTTTTAATTTACCAACATATTTTTGCCCATTTTATATATATATATATGTGTATGTATATATATATGTATGTGTGTGTGTATTTATTTATTTTTTGCTGTATGTTTATTATAGGCTGTATGTTTTTGTTCATTGTAGATGAGCTGGACAGAGAGAGGAGCAGAGAGAGGAAACAGTTTACATGCTGAATCTGATGACGTCACGATGGCGGACAACACTCTCTACTGCAGCAGAGAAACTGGTAAGGAAGTGTACAGTGTGTACAAAACCATAAAATGACAACAAAATCTTTCCAAAACCACTAATATGAATGCATGCACACAAGACTAAAGTCACAAGAGGAGTTGCTTGTGGAGCTGTTCTGATGGATGAGCTGGTGAAGTACCTTACAAAGGTCACTGCCAGTTTCTGTGAAAGATATACAAAAAAATAGAACTCATGGCAGGAGTAGAGGTAGATACTAAGCAATTTGGTGCACCGTCTCTACAAAGCTGACATGCTTTCGCGGAGATAGGCTTGTTCACTAGTCTGACACCTCTAGTTAATTTTGTGCTGTGAAAATATTGTAAACCAACAGCTAACTTCTTCATTCCTCTGTTACGTAGTGGAACATTGTGGCTCATCTTTGTTCTCTTGTGGTGGAAAAAAATATCACACAAGTGTCCGCCTTGTTTGCAGATTGACCACTATTTGTGTAAATGCGCAATATCCTGCTGTTCTCAAAGATTGTTCAGTGCCCTGTTTGACTTCCTTTTCATCCATTTTTATTTTTATGTCTTCATTAATGTTGGGTAAGTGCTGTTTGTTTGAAGGTTGGTATAGCGTACTGTTCTTTGTAACACTGGTTACTTTCATTTCATCTCATCTTTCATTTAATTTGATCAAATGTTGCAGTATTTGAGAACATTAGTTTGGCAGGGGCGTGTCTACGTGGTGGCCAGGGGTGGCACCGGCCCCCCCTGAAATTTGGCTGGCCACCCCAGGTGCCCCCCCTACCAGATGTCTCGCCATAGGCTTGTTTTTAGTAAATTTCAAATTTTAGGCAGTTTCTATAGTGTGATCTTAATGACAACGTCGAGAGCGCATAATGTTACGCGATCCATGTGCGTGAGGACGAATCTCTCCACTCCCAAGCGGATTTCCTACACTCACACAAAACTGGACGTGTGCTCTTAACATACATCGTTCCGCAAACACAACCCAATTCTGGGATAAAAAAAATATATATATATATATAAACACACGCACGCACGCACGCACGCACGCACGCACACACACACACACACACACACACACACACACAACCATTCAATAGTTTGGTGATTTTTTTTATGTTTTTGAAAGTTTTTATGTTCTTATGCTCACCTATTTATTTGATAAAAAATACAGTAAAAGTAGTAATATTGTGAAATATTATAACAATTTGAAATAACTGATTTCTTTTTGTATATATTTTAGAATTTTCATCAGCCATTACTCCAGCCTTCGGTGTCACATGATTCTTCATAAATCATTCTAATATGCTGAATTGCTGCTAATCTATTATTATTATTATTATTATTATTATTATTATTATTATTATTATTATTATTATTTTCAC